TGAGGACTTTAGCTCATACTGTTTGTGAGCATTTTTCACTTGACAGTGTCAGCTTCTTTTAGAATCACTATGCCAACAGAGACTTTGAAAGCATCTTTTTATTTAATAACAGCTGCCCTGTTATGCATTGAGAGTGTGGAATAAATTTCCTTTTGGGGTAGAAAGACAAAGGGCCAGTTATGGTGCTTTATCACAAATTGGACTGACTTCATTATTTTGTTTTTCACTTTTTAAAAATTTGTTCTTTTTAGATACACATGACAGTAAAGTGTATTTTGACATATTATACATACATGGAATATAACTTATTCTAATTAAGATCCCATTCTTATGATTGTACATGATGTGGAGTTCTACTGGTCGTGGATTCACGTAGGAACATAGAAAAATTATGTCTGATTCATTCTACTGTTTTTCATATTCCCATTCCTCCTCACTTCCCTTCATTCACTGGATTGTCCAGTGAATTTCTATTATCCACGCCCCCTTATCGTGTGTTAGCATCCGCATATCAGAGAAAACATTTGGCCTTTGGTTTTTTTGGCATTGGCTTATTTCACTATGTATTATAGTCTCTAGTTCCATCTATTTACTGGGAAATGCCATAATTTCGTACTTTTTTATGACCGAGTAATATTCCATTGTGTATATTTTAAAAAAATTTTTTTTAAAAATTATTAATTTTATTTTTTTTAAATACATGACAGCAGAATGCATTACAGTTCTTATTACACATATAGAGTACAGTTTTTCATAACTTTGTATATATAGTATGTTCATGCCAATTCATGCCTTTATTTTTTAAAATTTTTTTTAAAAATATTTATTTTTTTAGTTTTTAGGTGGACACAATATCTTTATTTTGTTTTTATGTGGTGCTGAGAATCGAACCCAGTGCTTCACGCATGCTTGGCGAGCACGCTACCACTTGAGCCACATCCTCAGCCCAATTCATGCCTTTATTCGTATACTTTTCTTTTTGCATTACAATTCTTATTACACATATATACCACCAATTTTCCATATCTGTTTATATATAAAGTATTGACACCCAATTCGAGTCTTCATACATGTACTTTGGATAATGATGTCCATCACATTCCGCTGTCCTTGCTAATCCCCTGCCCCCTCCCTTTCCCTGCCACCCCTCTTCCCTATCTAGGATTCATCTAATCTTCCATGCTTATCCATTCATCTGTTGAAGGGCACCTAGTTTGGTTCCATAGCTTGACTATTGTGAATTGAACTGCTGTAAACATTGATGTGCCTGCATCATGACATTATTTTTTAAAGTAATAATAGTCCCCTCTGAAAGAGGCTATGTCAGTAAACCACATTAATTTGAAGCTTCAGATCCCCTTGAGTTGTGTTTAAGGTCCAGATCTTATTGTGGTGCCATGGGCAGAGTAGCATTATGATTTAGAACCCAGCTCTAGAGTTAGTCCTGGTTTGGTCTGGTCAGGCCCATTAGTTACCTGCTACCCTTGCACTGTAAGTGCTAGGGGAACAATGGCTGGGTCATTATTGTTTATTGCATCCATAGTGCCTGGCACATAGTAGATGCATATTAAATTCTTGAACTTGATTAAATGAAAATTACACAGAGATTGTAGAGTGTAAAGGTTAGAGCATGATTCCGAAGTCAGAAAGACCTTGCTTGTACTCCTAACTCCTCCGTTGTCTAGCTATGTGTCCTTCAGCAGATTGGTTACACTTTCCATCTTGAAGTTTCTATGTCCTCATCTCTAAAGTGGGGTAATGATTGTTTCTACCTTATTGGGTCATGTTGAGAATTACTGAGAAAATCTACGTGAGGGACCTGCAAGTGTCTAAACATGGTAGGTCTCAGTAAGAGTAAACTGTGATTATTCAGAAAACCTCAGATCCCTGAGCTATAAAATTGACAATGTTGTACATATCTCATGGAATAGTTATTTTAAGTGAACTTAAGTATACATGATACTGAGTACAGTACTTAGTAAAAGCTCAATAGATGGGCTGGGGATGTGGCTCAAGCGGTAGCGCGCTTGCCTGGCATGCGTACGGCCCGCGTTCGATCCTCAGCACCACATATAAACAAAGATGTTGTGTCCGCTGGAAAAAACTAAGAAATAAATATTAAAATTCTTTCTTTCTCTCTCTCTCTCTTAAAAAAAAAAGCTCAATAGATGATCACTAGTTAGTATTAGTGGCACTCCCCCACCCCCCAGGGCCTCTTGCATGCCAGGGTGGTGCTCTATTGCTATGCTATATCCCTAGCCCCAGATGGATGCTATATAAATCATGAGTCTAAATTTATCTTTTATCTAATTGATTTGATCTCATAGTTTTGCTGATTTAATTGATTACCTCCCAATTTGGGGGCCTTGTTTTGAAAAAGAAACTGATGTTTTTAATATGAATGTGTGAAATATTTTTATTGTTAGATTTGGTGTTTTTTTTTTAAGTCTCTAAAAAAATAACCATGGGCTATTAACTATGTTTGTCATCACACTGGGACAGAAGCACCATTAAAACTGTAACTTGTATATCCCCATTATTAATGGAGGAGTGAAGAGAAAAATAAAAGCCAAATTCTGTTTTAATAAGCTCCATGGAATTTGGAGGTCTATTGCTTTGCTGAAATTTTGGGAACAGTAGAAATTACACTTTTAGCTAACAGCAGTTGTAAAGAAGAGTTGACAACTCAGATTTTTCCATTAAAGTTAGCCAAGGACAGTGACTGAGCAACTAAAAGATGCCTCTGCCGCCACTGCATTTATGTGTGATTACCATCATGAGATTCACTGCTGCTGCTGCATGTATTGCCACTAACAGCTCCACGTATGTGAATGCCCATTGCCCACTAGGCATTTGCCAAAACAATTTGCGTTAAATACCTCTTTATCTTTTCAACAATTTTCTGGATAAAGTATTAACAGTATTTTACAATTGAGTATATTGAGATTGAAAGAAGCCAAGGAACTTGTCATAGTTACCTGGGGAGGAAGTCAGAATGAGTCTTAACTCTAAAACCAGGCCTCTTAATCACTGTAATATATTGTCTTTCTAACAAAACATATGCTTATCTTTCTGATAAACTTAATTTATTTCATAAATCTTCATCTTTTTCTATCCACTGAGGATTAAAAGAAAGATTTCTTCTTTTAAAGGATCTCAGAGTTTGAGGAGATAGTAAATAAGTATTGAGCAGAAATATTCTTTGCAAGTGTCATGGTCATTGGCTTTTCTGTTCATTTGCTAGCCTTTTTAGTAGAGTAGGATGTGAGACAAAAATTGAGAGAGCAGACCAAACTTTTTTTTTTTTTTTTTTTGTATTTTAACTTTATTTTTTTTTAATTTTTTATTGTTGGTTGTTCATAACATTACAAATTTCTTGACATATCATATTCCACACTTTGATTCAAGTGGGTTATGAACTCCCACCTTCACCCCATACACAGATTGCAGAATCACATCAGTTACACATCCATTGATTTACAAATTGCCATACTAGTGTCTGTTGTGCTCCACTGCCTTTCCCATCCTCCACCCTCCCCCCTCCCCACCTCTCCCCTCCCCTCCCCTCCTCTCTCTCTACCCCCTCCACTGTATAACCCTGAGGGTCTCCTTCCATTTCCATGCAATTTCCCTTTTCTCTCCCTTTCCCTCCCACCTCTCATCCCTGTTAAATGTTAGTCTTCTTTTCCTGCTCTTCATCCCTACTCTGATCTTAGTTACTCTCCTTATATCAAAGAAGACATTTGGCATTTGTTTTTTAGGGATTGGCTAGCTTCACTTAGCATAATCTGCTCTAATGCCATCCATTTCCCTGCAAATTCTATGATTTTGTCAGACCAAACTTTTGCTGCTGCCTTTCATCTCTCCTCTCAGACAGACATCACAAGATCGGGGATAGAATCTAGAACAGGAAACAGGAGCAAATAGTAAATGTAGGCTAGGTAGAAAGATTCTTGAGGTTTTCAGACTAGGAAATTTTGTACTCTGAAAGATTCTTTGAGTGGTTGGCTTTGTTAATCAATCTTCCTTCCTTCCTTCCTTTCCTTCCTTCCCTTCCTTCCCTTCCTTCCCTTCCTTTCCTTCCTTCCCTCCCTTCCCTTCCTCCCTCCCTCCCTCCCTCCCTCGCTTCCTTCCTTCCTTCCTTCCTTCCTTCCTTCCTTCCTCCTTCCTTAGTTTTTATCTCAAGGGAAAAGAAGGGGAAAGGTAAAGGGCTAGCTAAACCTCAACTTTGAACCTAGTTTATACAGCAAAAAAAGATTCATAGGAAAGTTTTATCATGGAATAAAAGAAAGATGTACTGTTTTATAGAATTTCCCTCTGATATAGTTCTGTTATATCCAATACCCTTCCAAATATGGCTACCAAGATAGAATGAGAAAATTCATAATGTAGCCACAGAAAATCTATCATTGACTACAAAGAAGGAAGGTATTGGGAGGTTTACCTTCATTATCTTTGTAGCTCAGTGGTTGGGGGTCAGGTTTTATGTTTTGGGTATTATTTTTAAGTATTTTTAGTACGGGTGTATTTGTGAATACTGCTGTTACTATATTTGAATAAGCGCAAGGCTGACAGGTAGAGCTTGAGTTATTTGAACATGCAATTCCATATGCCTTCCGATTTTAAAAGGTACAGATGGTTTTATACTTGGTCATGATGGATTTTTGCAGATAGGAATTAAAAAACATTGAGCTAAGACCAGTAAGGGACTAGGGGAAGGGAGGAGCAGAGGGAAAGGGACTAGGGGAAGGGAGGAGCAGAGGGAAAGAGGAGGCATTGGGGACTGAAATGGAGTAAAATAAATTCCATGCATATATGATTATGTAGAAATGAACCCCACTATTATGTACAACTGTAATGTACTAATAAAAGCATTTTTTAAAAGCCAAGAAAAAAATCCAAAGAAACAAAACAAAATAAAATCTTCAGCTAAAGAAATGTGTAATTTTTCTAAGTTATTTTAAGAATTACATAATGGTATTTTATCTTTTACATTCTAGCTTTTAAAACTGTGAGACAGCAGCCCTCCCGAAATGTTGCTACTAAGAATTACTCAGAGGTAAGAAAAAGGTTTTATAGTTCTCTTTTAATAATTTATGTTTCCTGCATTATGAATTGTCAATTCTTGGACTTGCAAAGTAAATAAAAGAGGACCTATTAAAGCCAGAAGATGCTTATCACTTACATAGACTGAGGGCAACTCAGAATTCTTCTTATTTCTTTTCTTCCTTTAAAAATAGTGGTTCACATTACTAAATATCCATAAGGAGTGTATGTAAGGTAATATTTTCAAGGGTAACAACACTGAAACAAAAGGGCATGTGTGTGGAATACTAACATCCAAGGCAAGTTTAGACTCAACACAGACTAAAGGTTGGAGCCTAAGGATCTCCGTGGTTTGCTTGGATTTCACATGGGCCTTCTTCTCTTCCTTTGGCTTCCAAAGAGTCTAGAATGGGCTTGACTCCCCTAGTACCTCACTTTCAAAACCCGTATGTCTTAACTTCCAAGCCAGTGCTCTTCCTCCTGTATCAAGGTTTCTCTAGCAGCACTATTGACATTTTAGATCAGATAATTCTTTTTTTATGAAGCAATGTCCTTTATGTTGTAGGATGTTTAGCAATATCCTTGGCCTTACATGATGTTGTTTCAGGGGCTTTATCCTCATCTGTGCTTCATTTAGGTGAAGACAGCTTGTGTGTGTGTTGCATGTCAAGATAACAAAATGTCAAGGAATAGGTAGTATTTTGCATGATGGAATTAAAAATCAGAAATATCTTTGTTGGTTCTTACTCTAACAAATGGTATTTAGCAGGGACAAATGTAACAGACACCTGGTACTTCTCACATGGTTAGATACTTCATTTAAAATTGGAGATGGAACACTGAAGTTCTAGCTCCTCATCGGAATCCAGGAAGAACATCACAGGTCACCACTGCCCTCAAGCCTGTGCAAGTCACTCACCAGTTTGTATCCTGTAGGTACCCAGGCCTTGTGTGGGCAAGGAGAGAAGTGAGCTAAGACATGCGATAGAGAATACCATTTGTGAATAAAGAGGGACATTGAAGGGAGGTCAGGCTGACTTTAATTTTTAATAGTTACTGCTTTCATGTTTTCTGGCTCCCTTTTTGTGACTTTTTAATATACTTTTTAAAAAACCACTTTCAGATTCAATTATTTAATTCATATATAGATGTTCCATTCTAAAAAAATTGTTGCTTTGTTTCCTTCCCTACCCTTAGGAGATTGAGGTGGATGAATCAGATGAGGATGACATTTTTCCTACTACTTCAAAAACAGATCAAAGGTAGGTTGGGGACTTCCTGAAAAAAAAAAAAAAAAATCCAAAATATTAAAAAGGATCCAGAATTCTAGTTTTACATTTTTCTGTGCTGTATAAGTTCAACAGAATTATTTTCAACTAGTAGAGTATGTACAGAAATAAGAAATAGACAAAGGGCTAGATTGTAAAACTGTTGCAGTGTTGTTAAGTATTGTCACTGAAAATGTAAATAACCTGTAATTCACTTCCTTTTGTCTTTATTACTCAATGATTTTCTTCCCATTTACTAGAAAATAATTTTGTATTTTGTTAATTTTTGATTCCAGCTTTTCTTTACTACCATAGTTTATTTACTTAATTGCACATGGTGCTGTACTAAGTGCTAAAAAGAGGTGGTGTAGATTTACTCTGCCTTAGAGGATTTATATGCTTTTCCTGGCCTTTTTTTTTTTTTTTTTTTTGCCTGTTGCTGTTGAGCTTGACTTAATTCAGTAGTACCATTTTGTTTCAGAATTAACATTTTGGGTGAACACTGCTTAGCTAAAACTCAATTAATGGAAATTTCTACGAAGAAAATAATCAGTGACCTTTTTAAATATTTTCTTTTTGAGCATTATATTAGGTCTGATGGGGGACATAACAACTATTTTAATATGGTTATGCCTTCAGGCAACTTAAATTGTGGAAAGAATTGAACCCATTTATGAATCCATTAAAGGAAGATTGAATCAGTACATAATTATGTGTGAAATTATGACTCAGGCCCTTATCGTGAGTGCTTATGGGAAGGGCTCAAATAAAGAGCCAGGAGTGTGGGCTCTGGTAGAAGAAAACCTCTGGAGATTGGTGGGCCTTTTTTCTGTCTTTTAATATGTGGGGCCTTTTTAAAGATACTTTTATTCTGTTGTAGAACTGAGATTTGAATAAAAAATATTTCAGTGTTACCATAATTTTCAGAAGTGAGGGATGATAATAGATATATTTTGATATGTGATAAGAACTATAATTATAATTAAGCCTCTGATCAGTGCTTGATATGTCAGGTTGTGCTGTGTATATTTCAGCATATTAACACATTGAATCTTTAATAAAAAAAATAAACTGTTATTCTCATTTTACAGATGAGGAAATTGAGGCACAAAGAAACTTGTCTAAAGACACATGCTAGTGAATGGAAAAATTAAGATCCAAACTCTGACTTTAGAGTCCTTTTTCTTTCTTTCTTTTTTTAAACAACTTTATTTCATTTGTTTATTTTTCCAATGTGGTGCCAGGGATTGAACCTGGTGCCTCATGCATGCTAGGCAAGCGCTCTACCACTGAGCCACAACCCCGGCCCAGGAGTCCTTTTTCTAAACATAGAGTTTTACTGCTGTAGTGCAATTGAAGGGAATTGTGTATTATTTTTATTCATGGGTGCTTTCAGGATTGAGAAACTTAACTAGAAGTGCATTTCTGATACATTCTCTATGTCATTGTCTTTGGTTTATTATCCCTCCTCCCCTTTATTTTTTGCCTCAGGTGGTCGAGCACATCAGCAAGCAAGCACATGTCCCAGAGCCAAGTAACTAAAGGGGTTGATTTTGAATCAGATGAGGTAATAAAGTCTTTTATTGTTAAATTTTAATTAATTTTTAATTTTGTGATAGGTAAATAGAGACTGCTAGCTAGTGGCTAAAAGTTATTTAATAGTTTAATTGATAGCTTTTCTTTGAACTATAATGTTAAAAGTCAATAGGGAACATCTGTTGAGTGCCCGTCTGTGTAATTTCTCATATGAAAGTCCTGCAGATTTTTAAAAGATGATGTTCACTCCAGTTAACATTTCTTCAAATATAAATGATAAAAACTAAGAATAGTTTTTTAGCTTTTACCATTTATATTTGAAGAAATGTTGGTGATGATAATGTAAGAGCTTTTAATGTTACTTTAATAGAATAATTACCCACTGTGTGCTCCACATGTTTCATATATAAGATGGTGTCTCGTGGTGATTTTCACGTCAGAGTGTTCAGGCATTGAGTGAAATGCTTTCTGATAAGATGTATAGAGGAAACTCAAGGTGATTGTCTGAATCGGACAAATGTTAAATCTCCTATGACTTGAATGAGCAGGAATAGAAAAGGTATGATCAAGACTTGCCTCTTGCCTTCATTCATTTATTGTTTTCATCAAGTTGAATTAAAGCTACATGACTGCCAGTTGAAGGACGTTTACAAGTTTTTGTTGAATTCCTTGAAGGTATTTCTCTTAGACCTATCAGCCCTTTCATTTATTTCTTTTTATTAAAAAAATTTAATTTTAGTAAAAGCACTTTAACATAAAACTTAACCATCTTAACACGTACAGGTTAGTGGTATTAAATACATTCACATTGTTGTAAAACAGATCTCTAGAACTTTTTTTTTAACTTTTTAAAAATTTGTTCTTTTTAGTTATATATGACAGAGTGTATTTTTTTTAGAGAGAGAGAGAGAGAATTTTTTTAATATTTATTTTTCAGTTTTCCGTGGACACAACATCTTTATTTTATTTTTATGTGGTGCTGAGGATCGAACCCAGGGCCTCGCACATGCCAGGCGAGCGCTCTACCACTGAGCCACAACCCTAGTCCAACAGAATGTATTTTGACATATCATACATACATGGATATAACTTCCTATGCTTGTGGTGGTACATGATGTGGCGTTATACTGGTTGTGCATTCATATATGAACATAGGAAAGTCTTGTCCCATTCATTCTATCGTCATTCCCATTCCCACCCCCTATCATTCCCCCCATTCCATAATTCAACCAGGGAACCTCTATCTCCCCACCCCAGATTGGAAACACACACACACACACACACACTCTATTGTGAGTCAGCATCCACATATCAGAGAAACATTCAGTCTTTAATCTTTTGGGTTGGCTTATTTTACTTCGCATGATAGTCTTGAGTCCCATCCATTTACCAGCAAATGCCATCATTTCATTTCTCTTTATGGCTGAGTAATATTCCATTCTGGATATGTACCATATTTTCTTTATCCATTTGTTTTCTTTATGCATTTCTTTATCTTCTGTTGAAGGGCATCTAGCTTGGTTTTCCATATCTTAGCTTTTGGGAATTGAGCTGCTACAAACATTGTTGTGGCTGTGTTACTAGAGTATGTTAATTTTAAGTCGTTTGGGTATTGCCGAGGAGGAGCGGGATAGCTGGGTCAAATGGTAGTTCCATTCCAAGTTTTTTGAGGAATCTCCATACTACTTTCCAGTGTGGTTGCACCAATTTTCAGTCCCACCGGCAATGTATAAGTATGCCCTTTTCCCCACATCTTCATCAACATTTATTGTTGCTTGTATTATTGATAATTATCATTCTGACTGAAGTGAGACGAAATCTTAGTGTAGTTTTAATTTGCAATTCTCTCATTGCTAGTGAGGTTGGGCATTTTTTTTAATATATTTGTTGGCCATTTGTATTTCTTCTTCTGTGAAGTGTCTGTTTAGTTTTTTTGCCCATTTATTGATTGGGTTATTTGGTTTTTGGTGTGAAGTTTTTGAGCTCTTTATATATTCTGGAGATTAATACTTTGAGTTGTTGATGGCAAAGATTTTCTCCCATTCTATAGACTCTCTCTTAATGTTCTTGATTGTTCCCTTTGCTGTGAAGAAGATGTTTAGGTTTTGATATAATCCCATTTATTGATTTTTGATTTTGCTTCTTGAGCTTTAGGACTCTTGTTAAGGAATTCAGCTCCTAAGCTGACATGATGGAGATTTGGGCCTATTTTTTCTTCTAGTAGGTCCAGAGTCTCTTGTCAAATGCCTGGGTCCTTGATCCACTTTGAGTTTTATGCAGGATAATAGATAGGTTAGAACTTTTTAATCTTGCAAAACCGAGACTCTATAACCTTTAAATATGGTCCCATTTCCCTCTTTCCCCAGTTCGTGTACCCACTGTTAAACTTTCTCTTTCTATGAATTTGTCTGCTCATATAAATGGAAACATACAGTATGTGTTGTTTTGTGACTTACTTATTAACTTTCCAAAATGTCCTCAGGATTCATACATGGTATGGCATATGAGTTACCCTTTTCATTTTGAGCTTCCACTGCTCCTTCCAAGTTCCCTGTATCTCAGCTGTAGTTTTAAAACAACTTGAGCTGGGCCGAAAAATGACAGCAAGACCTCGTTCTATCTATTGAATGTTACCGTATTTATTCTTGGAGAGAAGCAAGCAGAGCATTTGTATATACATGTGGTTATATATTAAAGTTAAAATTTTGTGTACTAGTTCATGTTTAACTGCAAAGATAGAAAACTCTCTATTGGCCTTCATTTTGGATTCATATTTAATAAGTTCTGCTTTTGATAGTAGCAGAAAATGAATCAGTAAATGAAAGTGAATTTATATTTCTCAAGGTATCCATTTCTTACCAGATATGGATAATTTAGCTAACACTTCAATTTGTTAATACCATCAATAAAACTAACATAAGCTAATGATTTCCTTTATTAATTTTTTAATAGAAACATAAATCAGAAATTTACAAATTTATTTTACCTCTGAATATTGAATTATAGAATATAATCAATTTATATTATCCCTCATTAAATTATATAACTTGAACTTACCTGAGGTTTGTTAGTTTTCATTTTCTTTAGTTAAATTCTTAGTTAATATCTCATTCATATTCCTGTTGTTTTCCCACATGCATGTAATTTACAGCTCATCAGAATGGAAACTCTTGAAATAGTCCATCTACTTCTTTTTCAAAAACCCAAAAGGTTGCGTTGATAAGTTGTTTCTTCAGTAGTCTGAGAGTAGCTATCTACTTCTAGCCCTAAATGGGAAATGGGAACTAAGAATTACAGCTCTTTCTAAGTTAGATCTTCTGCATGTGAATTCATTATTTTTTGGTGAATTTTCAGGATAGCAGACAACTGTAATAGAATGTAAATGGGAAGGAAATGGGAAAAAAAAAAAAAAAAAAAAAACTATTGACAGACCAAATAGAAATGTTTTAATTCAGTTTTACCTGGCTTACCCATACCTCATTTGCTTTTATTTAGTCTAATCACTGAGAGAAATGGGTGTTCATTATATATGTGTATATACACTCGTGTATTGCAGGATCAAATTTTATTTTTAATGCTCATTAAGAACTTGAATTGAATTATATGTTTCACACTTATAAAGGAAATGCAAAAAATGAAATCTAGCCTGTGTGAAGCGAAAGTGGCTCTCACTGACACCATTGCTACTGTTTTGTCCTACGAACTTCTGTCTTGCTTCAGGGCAACATGGAACAACACTGATTTAACATCTTTGTCATTTCAGGATGAAGATGATGATCCTTTCATGAACATTGGTTCTTTAAGAAGAAACAGAAGATAATATATTCAATGTAACTTAGAAATTTTCAAGTTACAGAAAGAATCAAAACATTTCAAGCAAAGACTTCATAGTTAAAAGATTTTAAAACTGTTTCTGTGAACTGAAAATTTTGAAAAAGACTTACTTAACAGATAAACTAATATGTAAGAATTTATATTTTTAAGTATCATTTCCTGAACATGACTCTATTACTGAAGGTGTTTCTCAGCTGATGGCTTTAAAAATAACATTGGTTCTCATTTTTTAGTCTGATTGTTAAATTATTTGGGAATGCTTTGTAAAATTTAAAATGTATTTTACTGACATGTTAGTGTATATCTTACTGAATAAGGGCTTTGCTTAAAGGTTGTTCTTGAATAAGTAGTAAAATAAATCCACCATTATACATTTCTGCTTCATGATCAAAGACTATCAGTATCTTAATGTTTAATTTAGCCAGAGTTGAAGGAAAGAGCTTATAAAATTTTACCTCTTTTTTTTTTTTAATAATTTTCTAGAGGCTTTGTATTTCCCAGAAGTGAACATTCTTTGTGAAACTATGCCTCACATCACTATTTGTCATTAAGTATGGGTTTTCTTTTTTTTCCCCTAGTGCTTCATGTAGTAGTAGACCCAAAGATTTGGAATGATTAGAAGTACTGAAAAGTTTGAATAATTCTATATAGATTTTTTTTATTTAAAAAAAACCAAAACAGTCTGTTAGAATTACTGAGTTTTTGTTCCATTTGTAGCAAAAATTTAAAACATTATGTTCCTATTGAGTAGTAGCAATTGTCTCTATTATTCTCTGTCATTAAGGCTGTTCTCTTTCTTACATCTATTTATAGGAAGAAAAATGTTAAATAAATTTTATATTTTACAAATGTTAACTTTTTTCAATAAAAGAGATACTTATAGTTCTAGCTACTTGGGAGGCTGAGGTAGGAGGAGAGACAGTTCAAGGTCAGCCTAAGATCCCATCTCAAAAAGACAAAAATAAAACTTTTCTTTTAATTTTAACTTTGGTTCCTATAAAATATTTCTGAATGGGCAATTTCAGAAATCTTGAAGAAGGTTTTATTGAAATAATCCCATTCTCCTTTTTAACACTCTTTAAAAAATAGATACCTGAGAATATTCCTTCTCCCCCCCCCCCCCCCCAGTACTGGGAATTGAACCCAGGGATCTTTTACCACTGAACTACACTACTATCTTTTTAAAATTTTATTTTGAAATAAGGCTTCACTAAGTGGCCCAGACTCGCCTTAAACTTGGGGATCTTCCTGCCTCAGTGTCCTCTGAGTTGCTGGGATAACAGGCGGGCACCACTATGTCTGGCTGAGAGAGTTCATTCTTTGAGGCAGTTCTGTTTAAAGACTCATTAAGGAAATGGTGGATCTTTGTGGCACAACAACCTGACATTTCTTCATAGATAGAAGCAAATAGTTGATTAAACAATATTCATTAGCATCAGAATAATTATACCTGGAACTTGTCAAATTATAAGAAGCATTTAGATAATGGATATATCTATATTATAGCATCTTAGAAATGGCCTAAGTCAAAAATTACATTATAACATTCTAATGAGTTTCTTTAAAAACTAAGTTTTGTGCCTAACTTGAACATAAGGATTATTTTTAGCAAGTAGCATTAACCTAGCAGAAGGCATTGTTCTGTGAAACACTCTAAGGCAGATCTGCCCACATCTTTATTACACTTTAAATCCACAATATGACCTGTATTTGAATGGAGTAGAGATTCAGTCTGGGGTGAAATGGTGGTGGGGAAGCTGATAGGGCATGCCCTCCTACCCATATACATGGCACACTGGCTTGGACCAGGCAGCGTCAGCTGATGGCTGGTCTCATGCCAGTTTAAATGATCCTAGGTAAGGGGGAAAGTGAAGACATGGCCACTGAAGTATACTAGCAGGTTCCTGGGCAAAAGGAGTAAGTCTTTCTCTCTTTAACACTGCTGTAGGTTATGAACAGAGATACTTAATATGATGCAGTTAGCCACTAAGAAAAATGATTCTGTGGCAGTTATAGAAAATGAACATCTCTTCAACTAATTCAAGTCATTTTGTGAATAGTTAGTGTGTGGCAAGCTCTAGAAATATGGTAAATAAAATGTGTAAAGAAAACTTGTCTCACTGAATATTGTTAACGTAGTTAAATGTGCCACATATCCTTGATTCTCTGTATCGAGGCAACAAAATCTACTGTTGGTTTCTCTGTGGTAGTTTTCAGAACTGTTTGTATAGGGATCTTTCAAATGATTCCAGACCACTTGGAATTGCTCTTGGAGACTGTGAGAGTAGTGATGAAAACATGGTGAAGAAAATGTTGCAGGGAGTCCTTCCATGCTTACCAAAGAAGAAATCTTGCTGACTTCTTGTCTCCTATGTAAAATATAGCAAGGGTACAAACGCAGTGTTTTCCTAGGCAATTCTAGAAAATAGAACTGCTTAGGCAATTCAGGCATTTAGTCAAGTGATGAGGCAATCTTTAATTCAGGTACAGGTGAAACTTGTTTTTATTTTTATAAACTTAAAATTTCTAATCACAATAAATACCAAAAAGTCATACAGTTTAACAAATAATTATATAGTTAGCACTTGTGGAATCTCTATGTAGGTAACAAAACAGAGTATCACTAATGCCCTGGAAGTCCACTGAATGTTCTCTCTTCTGAGTATGCAGTCCTGACTAATCTAGAGTGCTCGTTTTTCCCACAAGGTGGTGCTTTCACCACTAGATATCAGGATGTTTCCTCTGCAAAGCTCAAGAAATCTAGTTTCCAAAAAAATTTAGAACCTATGCAGGAATATTAAACCTATGCAACAGTACCATAATTAGCCTTCTAATCTTAAATGTTTCATATATTTTATCTGGTTTGGTCTGTAACTATAAAAATTGCCAGTTTGATAAATTTTGCATATAAATATTCAAGAAGAAAGAAATGTTTTATGTTTTCATAAAGACAAAAATCCTTTCTTGAAAAATTGAGTAGAAGAGTTTATCAATGTAAAGTTTTTCTTTGGAAGTGTATAATATTTAAAAGTAACTTCCCCAAAGTGATCTGATATCCTTTTTTATATCTGTCAAGCATTTAATTAACAATATTTTATGGTTTTTAACAGCTAACTTACATTAAAATTATTATAAAAGTTTTACATAATAAAGATGTGAGTTTTTTTATCCATAGAGATTCTGTATTCTTGAATGAGAAATATGCACATTTCATCATTTGCTTATCTTACTTCCAAGAATTTTGAATTTAATGTTCTTTAGGTCTGAAATACTCAAATTTTAATTGATCTCTGTAAAGCCAATTCATAGTTTGCTATTGCCATGCACATTTGTATGTTTTTGTGACAGATCATAAGATCTGATTTTAGCTATTCTAAGGTGGTGAAAGCAATGCATACTTATTCTTCAAACTTCAGATACTGAAGTACATAGCAAAATGTGTATATTTCCTTGTAATCCTCTTGTCACATGTGCCTTGTGAACAATTAGGTACATTTCTTCAATTACTTTTGGCATGACTACTCTCATTGTTGAATTAGAACCCCTTTGTATAGCCAAGTAATTTGGTGCTTCTCTCAAGGTATATGCTCACTTTGGTATCCTGATTTTTTTCATATCTGATTTGTTAACCTTTTAGTTAAACCATTGTTGCCTGCTTTGTTTTTGTGCCTGCATGAGGTAATCACTTTCTCCACTGAGGTCATGAAGATTCTTGTGTTATTTTCCAGAAGTCCGTCTGTTCTTTTTTTACATTTACAATGCAGCTAGGAATTGGTTTTTATGTATGGTATGAGAGGGGGTTGTATTTCATTCATTTGAATGTAAAGGTACATTTCCATGTGAAAATGCACTTGCTCCAGCCCATTTGTTGAAATAACTACCATTCCTCTGCTCTGTAGAGCCCTTAGTCCTTGAGTTCCCATCTGCATGAATTGGTTTCTGGACTCCGTTCTGTTCTATTGGCTTATTTGGAATTACTTATTGTAACTTTATAATAAGCCTTTTTGTCTACGGAACAGTTTCTCCTACTTCGTATTCTTCAAGGATATTTTGGAAAAACTTGGCTCTTTACATTTTCCATAAATTTTATAATTATGTATACTGCCATGACATAATGTAATATAAAAAATATCCATCTAGTTTCAGTTGTGTTATAGTTCTTAACTATTTTCAATTGCAGTTGATTTAATTAAAGCCTTGACCTTATTCCAGCTTAACGAGACATTTTGTTTGATACATAAACTGATTTTGGTTCCTGGAGGTAAAAAACTTGCTATGAAAGCTTAGAAACATTCTGTTCTTGCTGGACTTTCTGTTTCCTACCTAAATGGTTATGAACCCACTTCCCTGAATTACCATTCTTTACCCATTTGTGACATGGCCCAGTCAAGAGAGGGAAATAACGTTTCTTATACCCCCATCTCATTCACCTCCACTTTTTTCAACCTGTGTGAAGCATGTGCTGTCTTTCCGTCTCCTCTTGAGACCCTGCCTACCTTTACAGAACAACCAACCTAGGCTTGCTTCCAGTTCTGATCCTCACTGTTCCCATCCGCCAGTTTTCCTCCATCTACACACCTGGAAACAAAGAAACCAGAGCTTTTTTTTTCTTCACTTCCTGCTCTTCAACAGCCATCTCATGTTCTCCATGGATTCCTTCTCCCATTAAATGCAGCAGGTGCTATAAAGGAAGGAGGAAACTATTGTGTTAACCGTTCTATGCCAGGCCTAGCTATGTATACATATTATTTAATTCTCATAACATCACTATAAAGTAGGTGTTTTGGTTTGGATATGAGGTGTCCCCCAAAAGCTCCTATTAATGCAGGAATATCAGGAATAGTCAGAGGTGAGATGATTAGATTATAAGAGTTGTGATCTAATCTGTCCATCCTAGTTTGAATGGACTAACTGGGTAGTAACTATAGGCAGGGGGAGTGTGGCTGGAGTTGGGTCCCTTGGGCCATTTCCCGTTATCTTTCCTGACCCCTCTGGCTCTCTGCTTTCTATCTCCACCATGAGTGGTTTTCCTTCTCTGGGACCTTCCCCCATGAGGTGCTGCCTCACCTTGGGCACAGAGAAATGTAACCAGCCACCTATGGACTGAGATCTCTGAAACCGTAAACAATAAACTTTTTCTTTTCTAAGTTGTTTTTGCTGAGTGGGTATTGTGTACCCACTCAGCACATATCACTTTTACCTATCACAGTGACACAAAATTTACTAAAACAGTAGTCATTAATATTCTTTTTTTTTTTTTTTAAGTAGGGAAGGGTAAGGGCTTAAGCAAAAAATCATACAGCTAATAAATGTTAAAACTGAGATTTAAATGTAAGAAATAATTTTGGGGGGTGGTGTGGAGGACAGATACCGGGGATTGAACTCAGGTGCACTCAACCACTGAGTCACATCCCAGCCCTTTTTTGTATTTATTATATTTAGGGACAGGGTCTCACTGAGTTGCTTAGACCTTGCTATTGCTGAGGCTGGCTTTGAACTCACAATCCTCCTGCTTCAGCCTCCTGAGTGCTGGGATTACAGGTGTGTACCACCTCTCCCAACCTCAGAAATGACATTTAAATAAAAATTTTAAACTTAATGAATTTAAGCATTTTTAATGTAAATGGTAGAACTGAGGTTTAAATCTAATTCTGTCCAAATCCACATTCCATTCTTTCCACCTGTCTCCCATCACCTAAGGCACTTCCTGACTTACAACTAAAAACATTAGCCTCAAATCCTGAAGCATGTTTGAACAGGACTATACAAAAAAGACAGAAAAAGCCCAAGAAAGAACATGAGTCATGTCTAAAATTGGCGACTGGCCTAGGCAGGGTAAACAACAACAG